CAGGTATCCAAGACAGGCCTGTGCCCAATGCGCATACTGAACGCCATGTCCAGCCGTTTACACACACACACACACACCGACCGATACCGGCGAAAAACATACTAGGCTGCAGGAAGGGAAGCTACAACAAGCCAAGCTATGACTTCGCACAATTCCATGACCTGGATTTGGACAGCGAATGATCTCTGCCTTCTCGGCGAACCATGTGGGATAAAGTATCATTGCCGCACCAGCAGCACCAACGCTCGACAACCAAGCTTCAAAACAAAGCTGAAACGACCATCATGGTAATGCAGCCGTGTGGCTCTTGTTGTCGCGGTCCGGTAGATTAACAGTCTCACCACGTGACATGACCACCATCGCCCATTTTTTGAACCTGAGTCGTGACTGGTGGCAACGACAGTTAGCTGATTACAGGTACAAGCATTTCGGCGTTACCGCAAACAAGATCACATCGAAACGCAGGGAGTTCATGTTCTCTGGCTGTCTCTTTTTCCTCTCCAGGCTCTGCCATCTCTTGAAGCTGTCGTATTCTCTGGCCGAAATCAATATCATCCAGAATCCACGGCAGCTCCTCAGCGACCCAGTAGATGCGTTTACAGATGTTGCAGGCAAACATGTGCTCACTTCCACCCTTTGCAACTCAACCGATGACGCAGCCCATTTGCTGGGCAGAGTCTTCACGCTCCCGGCAGATGAGCCAAGGCTCTTTGTCGACGACGCCGTCTGGGATAATGCCGGAGAGCTGCTGCTTCACTTTGGCGGAGATGTGCGTGAAATTCGATCTCAAGGCACAGTCGTCACGGAGCATTGGAAACAAGCATGGCGAAGTCTTGCACCGACATTTTCAACATAACAGTGTCAGTAACAGAAAGAACGGCGTGTGTCACGGCGAAAACGTCAGAATCATCAAGCTTGAGAATCACTGAGGCCACTGTTTCCTTTGCAAACTTACGCTTGTGCAACTCCTTCAGCTGCGATGCCGCCGTCGCGGCGCTGGTGAGGGTCTGGGTGCCGTGTGCGGCAGCAGGGTTGGAACTCCTGCTTTTGCATAAAAAAAAAGGGACAAGTCATCTGTACCAGGAACAAACAAACTCTGTGCTGGGCAGCCCATGCAGCCTGCGACGTTTTTGGGCAGCACGTCAATGTCGATCATAAACAACGACGCGCATGCCGTCCGCAGGAAGTCTCTGTGAGCCTCCAACTACCAAAGGCAAGGCCAAGGAACGTGCATTGGGATTCCATGCAGATTTTTTCGGGATGTGTAAAGATTCCTGGAGGCATGGACTGCGCAACTGCGTTACGACGAGGCTGAAAGAGCCTCCAGAGTCTCAGTGGATCGGGTTTAGCATAATCCCTTGCCTACTGCTGTCGTGCGCAACCCGCAGCCACCTGAGGCTTTGAAGCCGATTGAAGTTGCAGGCCTTGACAACGCTGTCGCCTTGGCAAGCGCCATGGGGGTCGAATTCCCTGTGGGCTGGGCTGCAACGAAAGGGCAGTACTTCGCCATTTTCATGGAAGTTTGTAAGGCTGCAGTATTCTGCAGAACCGGATGCGGCCGGCGTCGGCCGGTCACCGGATTTTGCACAAGTGAGCTTTGCTAAGGCGAACTGGGGTCCTTGCAATCTCAGTGTCGAACCATCTAATCCGAACCCGCTGGGCTGGGCAATCCAAGAGACTCTGGCACCCAGGTTGGGCTGAGCCGGGATGCTTGAGTGGATGGAGCTAGGGATGAAGTTTAAACACATAGAACCAACAAGTCCGCAACCTTGACACCTGGGTTTTTGGCAAAACAACTTCCTATCACAGGAGATGAGCACGGCCACCCGTGGACAAGTGTACAGACAGGCCAGTACCAATCACTTTCTTGACGTGCTCACCTCAGTGCTTGGGTTCGGCATTGTCGCTGGTGGACTCCAGCTTGATGGAACAAGTCGGAAGCGTGCCTTGCCTCGAGTGCCTCATGCTGCTGCTGCACACGTTGCTTCGTCCGCATCAGCGGATGGCGATTTGCCTTCCCTCTCATTTGCCGGGCCCTGTGCAGTGGTCCTTGGACCACATCCAGACCCCTGCTGATGCAGTTGCTCGGAACAAGACCAAGCAAGAGATACACAACAGAGTTTGCAATGGAAGGCTGCGGCGCAGTTGATATGCAACCACACAGCCTGATGGACGGCCAATCCCAGTCTTTGCCAGTGAGTCGTCAAATTCGGTTGGCAGGAACACCAAGAAGTCCCGGCAGTCACTGTCATGAATGTCGAGCATGCGGGCAGGATGTCGCTCCGTGCCTGACCGCTACGAGGCACGTCTCCTGCATGGCGTCTTCAATGGGCCTCACAACTGCATAGCCAAGTGGGCAACGAAGCTGTGTAGGCAACACTGCGCTAGCCTCACCTTCTTGCTTTGGGCCATCGTGATTAGAACAACTCCTGCCAACGGAAAATGAAGTGCATGTTGGTCGGGTGGATGCTACGACCGGCCGCTCTGGCACGGGGTCGTTGGGCGACGGCATCTTCCGTGCTGTCCCTGGTGGCCCGTGCCCAGAACCTTGCATGTCATGCAGTGGTGACACCACACTGGGAGCCTGGCAGACAGTACAACAAAGACACCCTTGGTCCGACGAAGGTTTCACTGCAGCATCCTCAAATGCTTGCTGAGGATTGTGCTGAAGCAACAGGAAGTAACTTGCAGCAGCATGCAGTGGTACAGAACCTGTGGCGTCTTCACGCTGACACAGGAGGATAAGCTAGAAATTTCTTGCACGTGGTCGTGTAGATCGAAAGCCACTGCGAAACATCAGCCTGAGGCACATCACGTACTATACGCGTAATGGCCAGTGTGAGGGTCGTAGCCTCGTCGCGCCACGACAACACGCAGGGCGCGTGTCCCTCTGCACATCTGCAGCAGCGGTCGGGGTGCACCAAGGTAGAGTTGATAGCTTGAAGCCGCCGGCCTTGTGCGAAAAAATGGGTGACGTGCTCGTGCCAACAGAAACTCGGCGGCATCGTCCTGCTGCGCCCGCTCGCCCAAGTTGCCCCTCAAGTCGAGGATGGTGACACCCTCTCACTGCTGGCAAACATCGAGTCTCTAGGTGGCTGTGGTGCGACACCTGCCAAAAAGATCCCTGAGGGATGGGAACCGTGACTAAATGCAGGAAGCCATCCCATTCTACACCCCATGGCCAGACGCGCCACAAAGGTGTAGGGGAAGCTCTGTGCCAGGCCAACTGTTTTTGTTCTGCGCCATCATGGCTCCCCGACTCTCAGCCCAGCCCCCAGAGCACTGCCCAGACCATCACCCCAGCCCGACCCACCTCCCAAAAAATCGAAAACTAAGTTCCAAACAGACCTCGGATCAAAACTTGTTGGGACCCAAATCCGTTACAAACTTCTATCAACTTAAACCCCCTTTTCAGCACGGACTGAGTTCTCCGCCAGCGCCTACGCAACCCTCCCCCATAAATCTCAACCTTTGTGTCAGTTTATATGAATCTGGAATCAACCCTGTAAAGCCACTAAACATCCTTTAAACAACTTTACATATTGTGCCACAGTCTTGTACTGCCAAGATGCCTCAAAGGCTCATGGACGGCCAAGTCCCTACGAATCCAGGTACTCTCCGCTGCAGCTGGTGAGGGAAGGCGGCCAGAAACGCTTCTGGGCTCCTGTTTAGACACCATGTGGATTTGGGGTAGGGGTGGAGCCTCACAACTCGGACAAGGCAGATGAGGTCTCACGCTTCGCAGCCGGCTGTCTAGAGAAAAGGCACTGACTCAGCCCGAAAGGCGAAATCAGGCTTCAACAAGCAAGCAGGTATAGTGCAATCCAGCATCTTGCCAAACACATCTTGTGAAATATTCAAACTTTCCTGGCAAGAAAGACTAGACAAGATCGGGATCGCCTGCAAAATATCCGCAGGGTTTTTTGCGGTTTGGAATTTCAAGACAGTTTAATTTTAGGGGGATCAGGCGCCCATAAGGATTTGTTACTTCCGGTAACCAGATATCTAATGCCTCCATTATGCTAAGGGAGCATGCAGTGTGAGCCAATATGCGAGGTCCTTCACCTCCTCCTTCGAGTGCAAGGTGCTGGCTGCTGAGGCTGCTGCCTGCTTGCTGCCCCAACGGCAGGGCCAGCGTATTTAACCGAATGCCGGCTGCACCTTCACTTCTCTCGAGGCCTTGGCGGCGCGCAGCTTCTGCGCCTCCTGACCGGACCGCAGATTATTCAAGTTTCCGAGGACTCGCTTCTAAGTCCTGCTCGATCCAAAGCTTCTCTCTGCGTTGCCGCTCCGATGCGTCCACCGGGGGGCCGGGGCGCTGCCGCAGTACCTTCACAGCATCTTCCGATACCACGGCTTTGATAAGAGGGGAACAGACGTAGGGAATCGTCCGACTCTGCAGTGCGAAAGTTTGATCACGCTGCTCACTATTTCATCTGAGCTCTTAAACACAAGGTGACTGCTACGTGGTGGGTCGGAAAGGCAGGCATGAGACATGCAAATTGAAAAGTACAGAAATAATCATCCAGCAGCGAAATGCGAAGCACCTTCCCGTGCCCTGTGTTTTGTGCCTTAAGCCCAAGCTTGCTTACACGAAACCAAAGCGTGGAAGCACACCCTGTTGGGAGTGGTCTGGGCATCGTACGACCGCACCACAGGGGATGACAGCTTCGCTTCCAATTCTCGCTGACAAAGCAGCCCTGTGAAGCCGTCAGGTGAGTCAAGTGGACCCGGGCCAACAGGAAGAAACCTGCCCGCGCCTTGTTCTGCGGTGCGGATGCTTCTTTCTGTGGAGCGGAATGCACGTCCTTTTGCAGCGTCGACATAGCTTTCGGCTTCAGCCTTCGCGGAGCAAAAGCTTCCTGAGCATGTCATCTTTTCGTGACAAGCACAGTCTCAGACATGTGTTGCGGCCCGAAAGGTTGTCATTGCCACTTGCATGTGTTTGGGCAAGCTATCGCTGGTGAGGCTGCGATGCGCTGACCAAAGTGCCCCATGCGACTATAATCTGGCCGCGAGAAATTAGAGCATCAAGCCCGTCACCTCCGGACTGCCGGGTTGCGACATCGCGACGGATCCATTCAACTTCCCGCTGCCATCGCTCTGCAGCTGTCTTGGGCTTGGTCCTGTGCAAAAAATCAAAGTTCGCAGGTTGACTCAGAGTAAGCTGTGGCCCGCAGTTCAGAGCTGCGGCCCTGCTGAGGATCTTTCCATGCCTGTAACATTCCAGCAGCCTCCCCGTTTGCGACTCCTCAAAGACCGGAGCCTCGTCTGGGCGACACGGCTCCTTCGTGCAGCTGCTCGCTGCACATCCTGTTGCTGAGTTGTGGGTGACAGAAGCTGCAGACAAACATGCAGGCATCCTAGCTTCGCAATCCTCGAATTCCCATCCCCAGCCGTGTCGAGTGGGGGGTCCTTTCGAAGCCACTCCCGATCCTTGGCGCCAGGCCTGAAAACCGACCCCGACGATCCGACTGGCTTTAGCTTGCCTGGCTCTGGCGCTTGCCGCGAAGTGACAGTTTCTCTTCGGGGCATCTTTGGCTCCCGACTGGTGCTGGTGGTGGTGCTGGTGTCAGTGCCAGTGGTAGTGGTGGCCGTGTTGTCGCGAGTGCTATGGCTGCTGGTCCCTGTTAGCTGTGCGGTCGGCGTTCCTTGATCTCCGAGATGCTCGGATTCATCCAGCAAATCAAAGTACTGTGGCAGCAGCCGCAACCTCTCAGCCGGCTCCATCGTGGAAAGGTCTTCCGGAAGCACTTCAAACGATCGCTGTGCCAAGAGAGGCCCACGCCGGATACGCACAGACACGGTGTAGCTGCCAGGTGGAAGGGCCGAACCCAAGTAGCGTTCCCAGATGGCGCCTGGCCGCACCGCTTGGCCACCACCCCGATAGCGCACCATGCCCTCTGCATCAATCCAGCGGATCTCCAACGGCCCGAACCACGGGTGCTCTGGCTTCTCCCCCTTGGGCTCCACCTTAGGAGACACACGTACACTGCACACGTCATAGCAGTATCACAAGTACCTACCAGCATGAGCCCTCGATCATCGGCGTCAGGCTGCGAGCACCAAGGGGATCAGCACTGCCCAAAGGTCACCGGTAGCCGCAGCAGGGATCAGGGAGGCGAAGCCGTGGAACAGGAATTCATCCTCAGGTTTCCGGCTTGAGGTCAAAACAAGTAGCACATAGTAGCACCGGCAGGTTCACTGACTTCCGTGACAGCTCAGTGTCCCCATCCCAGCCGGTGCCGACGCGGAAGACATGTGGAAAGGAGATCCCGCAAGGCTCGGTCCTACCACGCAACTGGGTGCGTTTGCTCATTGCTGCTGTCCCGCCCTAGAAAGTTCTTCAGTCCAGCCTGCGACCCAGGGCTGGGCCTGGTGGAAAGGGGTCCGCAACGAAGAGCCGCTCCATGAAAAAGATCTCGGCATCAATGCGGCAGTCATGCAACTGGAGTCCTGACGAGGCTGAGGGGATCTGGCTGGGGCAGGCTGGGCGCAGCAGTGTGCTTTCTTCAAGCGGCGACAAGCCGCCTTGCAACCTCGTATTGCATCGATTTCAGGCACAAGCACCAACTAGTGGTTCTGCTAAGTCGCACGAGCCGGCCCGGTCAAATCATGGTCCTTTGACGGCTCCCTGGATCTCGCATTTGCCATCAGCTGGCGAGAAGATGACCTCCACTAAAAGCTCCAGACTCAGCTCTCCAATGTACTAATTGTACTACATCCTCATAGGTTTCATCTGCGGGCCCATCTGGCATCAAGCATATAAGTTCATATAAGGGCTTTCACGCTGACTGACTCGGCATCAAATCATGGTGCCCCAAAGCCAATCACCACCTCGAGCGTAATGTGTTACGACCCTGAAATCCATTGCAACTATATTCCTTGACCTCCTGTCTAGCCATGATCAGCCCCCGAAGTGGATCTCTTCCTCTGCCCGTATCATTTTGCCTACCTGAATCTGAATCTACATTCACTCTACCTTCCTCAGATGGAGTTCAGCTACCACACCTCCGCAGTCAAGGCATCCGCAAGCCGCCCAAGGCTCTCGGCAGTGCGTCGGATTCGTCGGCTGCCAAAGGCACGCCGTGAGACCTTCCAAAATGGTTGCTATTCAAGCTGGGCTCCGCTGGACCGCGGTTAGGTCCTCAGTCCTGAGTGGTTCTTCATGATGCAACTGCTTTAAGATGCCTTGAGGCTTGGAGTTGGCTGTGCGATCGATTTCGGCTGGGAAGGCAAGGATAGCACCGTTCGCAAACCCCACAACGGAATGTCGCCTGCGCAACTGACTGCACTCTGTCGCCGGAGCCTTTGCTTGTGAATGTGCGGATTTCGTTTCTTGATGAAGCGAGGTTCATGTTACATGACAGTTGCATAGTTGCAAGAAGATCACAGTCGCCAAACACAGCATAGCAAAGGTCCATAGCCAGGAGGCTTTTGGCCATGAGGGCGTGGACCAGCCAAAGCGTGAGGTTGGCATAGAGCGACAGCCAGTCCGAACTCAAAGCTTTGAAGCTCTCCTGAGTCGGCATGCCAGAATGGAAAAGGGCTGCTCTCCCGTGCCGCGTCTGCAACTGGACTTCCCCCAAGTAAACCCTGCCTACTCCCTGTCTCAGAACCAAGAATCGCCAGCATCATACGCTTCCACCGGTGACACAATGCTCCACGTTTGCAGCATGCCCGGCAGTCCTTAATCTCGCACGACATTGTTGCAACTATCAGCAGCTGCAGACTGACCACAAGGAACTCGTTCAATCCTCCGGCCACGGCAGTCATGCAGGTCTGCAGGTGCCCGAATCACAAGAGAGCAAAGCTTCCGAATCCCCTCATATAGTAAGACCTATGAACCGTAAACAGCAAAAACCCTGTAGGCCTCCGCGCCTGAAGCCTGATAAGCTCTGGAGCTCAATTAGACAGCTGGCTCATGTTGGACTGGCTCTCCAAGAAAGGCCGGATCCCCTGCCCGAAGACTGCAAGCACGGCTCAAGATCCAGGTTTGGGGTGTGGGCGACAACTTCCCGAGCTTTGCTTACACCCCGAGAAACAACTGCGAACACAAGCTGCCAGCCCGTAGTCAATTGAGCCTTGCCTGACTTTTGGGGACCTGGCCAGACGATAAAGCTTGTGCCCAAAAGTCAGGCCAGGAGGCCTCAAGGAAAGCAAAGGGGATGCAGCGCCAACAAAAAGCAGGAAAGCCGTCGAAAGTGCCAAGCGCGTGTGTGTCTGTGTGATTCTCTGTGTGTGTGTGTGTGCATGTGCCCAATTGGCCGCCTCAGCTCAGCTCCGGACCTTGGCCCAAAGCTTTCGCGGCTCCGGCGCATCCAGGGATGCTGTGACCTTTGCCAGGGGGCCCCAAGAGGGGGCGCAGAGACCTAGTCAACCTAGTCCCCTAGTCCCATTCTGCGAAACCTCGGAGGTGAAAGCTTGAAGACCAACAAAACCCCGAGAGCTCAAACAACCTCGATCTCCATGCCACTGCTCGTGTCGGTTCCATGTGTCTAGCCCACATTCCACATTGCATTCTGCATTCTCTCCATTTCTCTCCCCTCTCGGCGACCTCCTCAGCATGGGCACGGCTGACAGCAAAGCTTCCACCATTGCCGGATACCACGCTGGTTCCGTTCAGCAAGGCAAGCCACCTCGTCAAATTTTCACTGGATCACGCCCTGCGCTTCATTTTTGCCTTACAGCTCTTTTGTGCAGCTCTCCTAAGGAAGAAACAGCTCAACTTGCCCTGGAACACAGCTCCCCTCCGGTCCCCTCCCTCCATGGCCCGGCCGAGAGAGCAGCCCTGAGTGCGCCGGATGCCATGCCCCGGAGGCGAGGTCCACCTCGAAAGTCTTGGCATTGCAGAGGTTGCTTATAAGAATGAGTTATGCTAGGCCGCTAGGCACCTGCTTGAAGTGGCACGCCGAGCCAAGGAGCCAAGCAGCACGTTTCACGCTTGGTTCCGGATGATTTATTTTCTAGGTTTGCCTGCCAGGGCACCAGGTAGTCCCAGCTGTGATATTCCAGGAGCAAGCGCGTGGCCTCCAAGCGGAGGTCCTGCAGAAGCAGCTGCCTTCAAACCCTCAAATCTTGTGGCAGTTCCAGAAGAAGAAGCGAGCCCAACATGGAGAACCGACATGGTAGTAATACATGCGATCCTTGCCTGACTCGACATACACCCTTGCAGACAAGAAGCCCTCTTGCCAAAGGGACTTCTCCCGCACCAAATCTGAACCCACCCGGCCCTAGCAACCTCGCGCCTTGCTGGTGTGTGCTTGATCCGGCTCCATCTCCTCTGGGCTTTGGGCCATGTAGGCTGATGGCATAGTCTTGAACTGTTTTTCATCTCGAGAGCGACTGGCCTAGGTTTGTATTGTTGACAGATGGCATCTGTTGGGACATTTTCCTGACAGGCCGGGAGTAGCAGCTGCGAATTTGAACTCTGCCCCCTGACCCCCGCCTTATTATCGCGGCTACTAAAACTCAGTCGAGACCTGATCAATGGCTCAAGCAAACTGAACACCGATCACCAAGGATCCGAGATGACGAAGACGTTTTTGAGCTTTCTTTCGCGGATCCAGTCGTCCAGGCTTGGCCGCACCGTGCGAGGTGCGCATATGACGTATCTGCCAGAGGGAGTCAGAGAGAGTATCTCGGGGGGGAGGCAAGGGCGGCAGCAAAGGACCTCTTCATCGCCAAGGCGCACGTGATGCTTCGCATGGAGAAGCTCTACGGTCCTCTGCGCCTCCTGCCGTGCTTTCGAGGCTTCCAGGCCCGACGGCAAAGACAAAGACCGGTTGCAAACTCAAGCGCAGGATCTTGTGCAGGGCCCAGGGGCTCTTCGACAAGCTTTCGCGACTCTTCGCGGGTGCATGCGGGTCCTCGCCGCGGCCGGTGGACACCAGGAAAGCCACCTGGTTCAATCGGGTTCCAGCATCACGCCAGCCCTGTCCTTCATGGTTTGTTGAGATGTGGCTTCGAAAGCTATCCGGCCGAGTTACAGAATCGACAGCAACAAGGGCAGTGGTGGGAAGAGGACCAAAGACTGAAATGACACCCTGGAAATCCTGAGTCCGACACCTTGGCAGCCACAGTGGCAGGAAACTTGCGAAGTAACGCTGCGGGGGCCTTACACCTTGGAGGCGGATCGGATAAAGGATTGGACAAAGCCGTCCGGTCTACTCGCAAGTTGCTCTCCTTGAAAGTGTCACGTCATGTGGCTACCCTTGCTTCGGAATTGTCTGCGCACCCCCATCAAACTGTCGACTCAACCCCTTCAGATCCCTAGTGGCTTGAGCAAAGAATCTCCGCTTCGGCCGCGTGCACGAGCACGGGCATAGCCACAAGCAGCAGCAGCCCGACAGTCACGCGCCGCGTCATGCCACCAACACTTCCCAATTTCGAAAGTTGTGCTTATTCGACTGAGCCTTACGATCATCGCAGGTGTGTGAGCATCCCGGCAGTTGAGTAGTAAGTCTTGGGTTTTCGTTGCCGCACTCTACAGCCGGCTCGAGCCAAAGCTTTGGAATTGCAGCCGAAAGCGCAATCGTTTCAGCAGTTACCGCGCGTGTGGGTCTTGCAGCCTTGCAAAGGCGAGATCGGCAAGGCTTCGAAGCTGCATCTGGCCGCTCGAACTGAAACTCCCAAGTCCCCGATCAAAGCCGCAGGCTCCACTACAGTGATCGAGGACTCGATGCTGGGCACCAAGTAGCTGAGCTTGTGGTACTCCGTCCTTATGGAAGTGAGGGGAAGGTGCCACTCCAGGGCTTGGCATCAGAGTTCATCTGAACCCCAACCCGACAAGGGGAAGACTCATGAGCATCTCCTTCGCATGAAATAAACTCCGAGCTGTGGGCTCGATTGCGGCGTGGACATCCAAAACATGGACCTGCTCGACCCGTCTAAGCCTCTCGTGCTCCAGCTGTCGTAACAAACGCTTCTCAACTCAGCTTAGACAGTGCAGCGCTCTGCAGTATTCGAGCACATGAGTGCGCAAGGACTTCAAGCTTCACTTCAAGCCCGCGACATTCAGCAGGTCGGTGCCGTTCAGCCAGTGCAGGCTAGCCTTCAAATTCAGGCGCGAGAAATCACATTGCATGCGTCCGCCGAGGCCGGAGCACGTGACTTCTTTCTGTGAGTTTGGGGGACAGGACCCCCGCGCGCAGTGAGCACATGTGCGCACCCTCGGATTGAGGAAGCAAACCTTGAAAGTAGCAGCATGTAGAGCCCCCTGAATCCCGAAGGAGGCTTGCAGGATGAAAGAAGGCGATCAGAATCTTGGTACGGAGGTACATAAACCCCTCCTGCGGACCTACAGCTTCAGCATCAGTCGTGGCAAGTGCTCTTACGATGAAGACTTCAACCGGAACTGTTGGTGGATAACGCCCTTCACATCTGTTTGGTGACAACCCTCCCCCCCTCCTCAACCTCATCAGCCCCAAACCAATCAGCACTCAGGTCCACGCATCGTCCCAAAACAGGGGCAAGTAAGACCTCAAGGTGATGATGCTCAAATCCCAATTGCAGCGTGTTTCTTGATGGAGTGCAACGGCAACCCGCCATCACCCATCCGAGGCCGCAACAGAGCAGCGTCGATATACTCTTGCTTTAGGAGAGTGTCGAAGCGCCAGCCTGTTGAACACAATCGTTATCTGACTGCTCAGCTTAAGGGCAGGAGGGGTGTGGCCATCAAGAACGTGGCTACGGACGGCCGCGAACACTGAGCTGGAAACGTAGTCAACCTGGATGCACGGGATGCACAATGAGGCCGTGCAAAGCTCCAGAAAGGAGAGAGGAGAATCTTAGTAACTTAGGCGCCCAATAAGTGTCAATGGTCGGCCCACGCCGACATTGCTGAAGAAAGTGTTCCAAGCAGAACCCGTCGTGCATGCATTTCTAATGAGATTTGTGCACAATTGCAAAATACCTAGGCAACATTACGAGGTTCTGCGTTCTCCCCAGCTCTGATGCAATTCAGACTTGCCCACAGGAGGACTAAACTAGTGTACCCAAAACGACAATTAAATAAGTCAAGCCCAACGCAAAGATGCAAATACAAATGGACGGCCTTGTCAACATTGCCACACGAAACCTCCCGAAAGTCATTCGAGCTTCCGAAACTGCCTGTCGAAGAAGGCGCTGACGAATCCTTCTTCGCATGCGCCAGCGTGTAAAGTGTGATCCTGGCAAGGAGGGCGTGCTAGAAGAGGCTCGTTGCCGGAGCACTGCCTGGTGGGTCAGTTAACCATCATGACGACAAGGTTTGGGTGGACTATTACACTGTGCTAAACCGAACTATACCACCTTTACTACAACAGGTACTACAACTATACCGTCGAAACCAAATCTTTTTAAGCTCAGGAAGCTAATATGAACCCTTTGTGCCCTGAGCTCTGGACCAGGTCCAGGGAGCGATGTCAACAGGTTCCGAACTCCGCTTCTGTGCATCGACCACCTGAACATCGTGGCAGTTTCCGGGGCCTGAATGATCAGAGCAAGGTGCTGGAATCGTATATTGGATTTCTGAACAATAACTCATTCTTCACACCTCTACTGTTTTGACGAGTTCTTTGCATTACGTATGTCAATATGTAGGCTGGGCGCCGATGCTAGACATTCTGGTTGTAGTCTGGCGGGCATGTGCAGTTTCCGGCTCGCCGCCTGACGAATCGTCTGGTCCGTCAAGTCCTGCCTCGGCGCGAGTCGTAGCTTGCACACTGACGGGAATTGCAATTGGAAAGGGTATCCTGCCAAGCCCAGGAGACAAAGCCCGAGTGAGCTTGCTCCCAGGGAACAATGTTTAACCACAAGAACTGTCGCAGTCAAAGGGTGCGGAACTCAATGCTCATGCTTGAGACCACCGTCATCACCTTCACCACCACCGCTAGCATTGTCATCGCCGCCATGACCATCATCGCCGTCCGTGGCTCGACTCTCCGAGTCCAGCACTGGCAGAAGTCTGCGGAGAGCACGTGCGACAGGGGCAGCTTCACTAACACTTCGTCCTTGTACGTCGTTTTTGGGGATTGTAGGGCCTGGCTGGCCCATTGAGGTTCTGGTGCTTTAAGTTCTCTGACTCCACTCAAGCCCTGCCCCCGACCGAACAGTCTGAAACCAACATCAGCCTCCTTGGCAGGGGCAGAAGCTAAATCGACGCTCAAGATCTGTCTGAATCTTGCATCGTGTGGCCCAGGGGTTGCTGGTGCGCCCGGTGCTGACGCATTGCAGTGTCCTTCGCGACACTTTCGGTAACCTCCAAGCGCCGATCGTAGCGACCTTGCAGTCTTGATAGACCGGAACGACTATCGCCACTAAGCAATACCTCATGAGTCACTGAGCTTCTGGCCTTTCTCGCTGAGGTAGTCGTTGACAATCTGTTCAAGCGGGCTTTCTGCTCGTCAACCCACATACCGTCTCTTGAAACACGGGTTGGAAAGGACAAACTTTTTGACAGACATCCAATGCATTCCGCAATCCTACTTTTCATTCAAGTCCTCGTCCTAATGAGCGTGCAGTGGGAAAGTGGGCCTTTTGGTGTTTTGTCTTCTTAGCATGTGCGTCGTGTCAACCTCGTGCAGAAGTACAATCTTCTCAAGTCTAGGACCTAGGAACTGTTTTTGCCTCCCAGCTAGCTAGGACGAGCCCGCATTGCAGGACCTACAAGTAGGAACCTAGCCGAGCGTTCTGGTGTTTGCCGAGATTCCCAGCAGAAGGCGATCAGGAAAAGGAGGTTCAACTTAAAGCTGGGAAACATACCAAACGTCACCAATCTCAAATTATCGTGATCTGCCAGACAAATAAAAGCATGACAAGGAAAGGGTGACGGAGTTTACGAGGAAGGCAATGGCTCCGATCTGAGATTGTTGTACCGCGACACCTCGCCTGCAAATGCCAGGAAAACCAACATTCCGAACTCCAACATCATGTTGTTCTCCAACAAGTCTGGTGTCTATCCGGTTGATCTTGTGACTTCAACACACAATCTCCTAAGCAACACTTGAACAGCCAAATGAGTCGCGCTTCGCACCGTTCAAGATGCTGACAG